AATTTGACGGCCACACAGAATTCCGGGCAACTTTTACTCTATCAATATTATTTTTATCCATCTCTCAATCTTATTAAATGATCTCTCCTAATGTCGATGTTCAATTGGAAACATGCCCGTGATATATGTTATTCCTTAAAATCCTCTTTAATAGAGAAGATAGAAACTCACAGTGTTGATTCTGCAACATTCAACAGATACACTGTCCTAATGTCAACTGTCTGGCCAGCTAATACCTTTTCGTTTCCTTTAGGAACAAAAGGCAGCCATCTTGTTTGAATGAGTTGGATGGATTGGGCAAAATGGCACATCACTACTGTCTGAGTTGAGCAGAACACTACAAATAGATGAGATAGAGCTTGCCATAATGGTATCAGATTCTACACTAAAACATCCAAACAAGTAAAACATAGAGAAACTCTATCAAACTATGTACATTCCCTCAAGCAAACACATCACTGAAACACATACAAAGAGACAGAAACAGAAGAAGTATCATTGTGTGTTGACATTAGTAGGCATTCAGAAACTAGTGATCACTCGCTGGTGTTTGGCGTAGTATACCTACTCACCCACCTGTTCATGACTGAATCAGGTGACATTGGTGCAATATTCTTCAGTAATCCGGCATCGTCTCCATTGTCTGCACCATCCTTTCCTTCCTTGGCCACCTTGTATCCCTCACTCTGTATTGCTTTCAGTGTGTCGAGGACCTCCTTCACCGGTGGCCTCATCTCCCCATCCTTCTGCAAGCACCTGAATGCCACCTCTGCTACCATGGTGATCATCTTCCTTATCGCTTCATCCGATTGGTATCCGAGGCCTTCGTCCACCAACTGGTCGAGCTCGCCATTCTGGATCCTGTCCACTGCCATGTTCGCCAAGTTGATGTCCTTCCGGTGCCGGGTAATGTCGACAGCAGGTTTGGAGGATATGAGTTCCACCAATACAACTCCGAAGCTATAAACATCGCTCTTGTCGGTGAGCTGGTAGCACTGGTGGTACTCCGGGTCCAAGTACCCTGGTGTGCCCTGTGGAGCGGTGGAGATGTGCGTGACGTCGGTGGGGAAGAGACGCGAAAGCCCAAAATCTGCGACTTTCACGTTGAAGCAGCTGTCGAGCAGGATGTTGCTGGTCTTGACATCGCGGTGGATGATCGGTGGGTTGACGGCATGAAGGTAGGCCAGAGCGTCTGCCGTCTCGACGGCGATGTTAAGACGCACAGGCCATGTAAGGATCCCCTCGCTAGCCCGGGATCCATGGAGGTGATCCGCCACCGTGCCATTTTGCACGAACTCGTACACGAGGAGGAGCTCACGTTCGCTGCGAGAGGTGCAGCCATAGAGGTTGACAAGGTTCGGATGACGAAGGCGGGATAGGATATCGATCTCATTCCTGAACTGCTCAACTCGTCTGTAGTTGTTCTCGTATAGCCGCTTGACTGCAACAATACGCCCATCTCGAAGCTTTCCTGAAGAGAAGCCATTTGAGCTAACGATGAGTTGAGAACTCCGAAGGAGATGATTATAGTGCAGATTGTAACATATAATTCTGTCGGTACCTTTGTAGACAGTGCCAAAGCCTCCATCACCGAGTTCTTCGGATTCGTCGAAGTGGTTGGTGGCCTGCTCTAGTTCTTCATAGGAGAAGAGATGGGTCTGGAAATGGGCGCTGCTGCCCTTCTCGGGGTCTTTAGAAGATGACATGGAAGAGAGGTTCTGCACAAGGGATTTGGAGGAAGGGGAGTTTCCTTGCTTCTTCTTGTGCCTGTAGTAGATAAAGCCAACACAAAGTAGGACGAAGAAACCAGCTGATGCTGCAATACCTGTTGTTCATGACAAATAACAAACAGCATGAGCCGAAGGAACCATATGAAAGAATCCAAGTCCAGATTTCAAGCGCTGCAACTTCTCCAGAGATTAGGTTAAGCAATTTTTTGAGGTTCATCAAATTATGCTTTGTTTTCTAATGAAGTGACTCGTTCCGTGGAAATAATCTAATTTGAAAGCTACAAGATGAGTGAGGGCTATATCTATACCAGATTTGATGCAGCTGTGGCTTTTCATGAGACTAAACAAAGACGATCTACTCTGTTTGAAACTCGGTCAATAGCAATAACAATGGTCACCAATTGAGGTTATTAACATGGAGTAGTTGATGCCCATTGAGGGCAAATCTTATGACCATATGAACGAACAGAAACTTCAGAAGTTGTATCTCATTTACATATTCATTAAACAAACAAAAACTGTTATCTCAACTATCAGAGATAAAAAGTATCATTACGGAAACTGTATAAAATGATGCAAAGCAGGAGAAATAAGTTGTTACTTACCTATAATAACTCCATGTTTCATTGGACTCTTCTTGCTCTTTCCTGCAGCATCTGAAAATTATTTCCATAAGATCACTGAAAATGATAAGCCTGATTAAGAAGCATGTACAGAACAGCGTAAAGGAATATCCCAATATCTACTCCATAAACCTACTGATATGTATTTTCTTTTAAACCGCTATATCATCCCGAATAATGTGATACTGATAAACAAAAAATCAGTTTGTCCCTTGCTCCCAGATTTATGTTATTAAATATTTAAGAAAGCAACAGGATGTCAGA